CCTTGTTCTGTAGGTGGTGTGACAGTCCTGCTCTGAGCGTTGATCTCATCCTGGCCCGGAGCAAGAAATCCAACTAAATTAATTTAAGAAGTGTTCTTCAACCAGTACTACCAAGATTCTGTGATTTCACAATAGAAATTAGGCTGATTGTGATAAACAATATCAACTTTATCCTCCCTCAGTACCAATAGTACCATTTGGGTTATTAAAAAATTAATTTTAAATTTACAGATATTTACTAGAGGATTCTGTTAGGATTCATTAGGCACAGGTTTGTACCTTGTCTCCATCTTATTTAGAGTTGTATTGACTTTATTACATAAAAATTCATTGCAGGCAGATGCCAAGCCTGACTTCTTTGTGCATGATATGTCTATTGTTAATAAATTAGTTGGAGATATGCATCAGAAGACAAATGGCATTGCAAAATCTGGCAATCAAACAGTACTAGTTAATAAACACATGACAAGTTATGAAGAATGATGTATCTAGTCAGATGTATTTATTTGGAAGGTAGTCTTTTAAACTATAATTAAATTCACTTTAGATGAGGATTGTAGCTTCATGACTGCTCGGGTATTCTGAATACACAAAGCAGTGAGAAACGGTATGAATGGTCACTCTAACGAGAAGACCAGAATGGAAATCTTCAGAAGAAAAGTTTTAGTCTGTTTACATTAGAGTTTTAAGGAAAAAAACCTTTCCAGGGCAGGATGGACAGGTTGGATTCGGTGTAGAATAATCAAAGTAAAAGGGACAGTTTGACCAAGGAATAACGCGCGGCTTTTCTTCCCGTGGGTGGCTGGAGTGCTGCAAGCAACCAAAGGTGTAGATAATGCAACAGAGGAATTTTATGGATGCTGATAAAAGGCTTACCAGCCAAGTTTATTCGTTTGTTCTCCTGGAAGAAGAGAGAGCAAATTTCAAGGCACACTGAAGTGACATCTTTATATCTGAGTATCAAAGATGTGAATGAAAGAGCCCAGGACAAGGCTGACTCATGCTATGTGACCTCCTGAGCATCTGACCACTGTAGGAAGAATAGTGCTGATGTAAATGAAAAGAGAACTTGGCCTTTTCTGTGGGTACCTTTCATTGCTGCCTTTAAAAGTTGGACTAATAATAATCCACAAGTGCATGAAGATATAAAAGTTAAAAATATTTATGTTCCTGACTTTCCCAGGTGTTAGGTGAAATTTTCCCAGCCCTGAAATACTCCTCAGAATGCCTGTATGCGGCAAGATGCCCGTTTTTGAAGAGGAAAAACTGTGGTGTAGGGACATGGAGCTCTTCTCCATAGTTGATGCAGACAGACCCAAGCACTCTGCAGGTCTGAGCCGTGCCAAGATGAGCAGCTCTGTGTAATGGCAGAGTACTGGTGTGGTACCAGCCCAGCAGACAGTGGCCTATTCACTGAGTGTGGCATCAGCCTCAGGCATCTGTGCCACTTTTAGACTTCAGAAGCCAGCTTGAAACACAGGGAGAGATGCTGGTCACTGACTGTCTCCATCCAGATAGAAATGTGACATGCTGAACACTATGGAAGAACCTCTACTTAGCATCTGAAATACTAAACTACCTCTCTTCATGCTCCTGTCTGCTATCCTGAAGAGTTTACCAAACACCACAGACTGTTGGGTGAATGGGATACAGGGAACTCAGCAGCTTAGAGTGCTTTTGCTAAGTCTAAGTAAGGACACTGGAATTCTGTCCTAGACAACTCTCCAAAGGGTTTGACTTCTCTGCTTCTTTTGCAGTATGGCAAGTGTACCAGGACCTCAAGAGTGTCACAGTGTCTGCATTATCCATTATTCTAATGAAGATCAAACTTGTTGGAATAATTAAAATTATTAGTCCCATGTGCTGGTTTACTTGTATGAACAGTAGCTATAAAACCAGGAAAAAAATATTTTTTGCCTTTGGAATTGATTTGCATGCTATAATAAAGGCAGTTCTGATGAATTTTAGTAGAGGCGGGGGCTGAATACATGTGCCTGTTATCAGGGCTTTGCTTTATGTTAAGACAGCCCTGCATTGTGCAGTGCATAATGAATTCCAGAAAACACAGCTTCTTATTGTTGTCAGTTATTGGGGGCTCGTTCTTCTAATGAGACATGTAAATATCTTTTATTAACATTAAGGGTGACTGTGTGCTTGGCCCCTGAGGAGAACAGTGCTCTCTGTCAGCTACAGCAGAAAGATGAAAATTACAACAAAAATGCCATTACAGTTATTGCAAAAATTTGCCTTTATGACGTCAGTAGTCTTTACAGCTTTTGGTATCATTTGCAGAATTATCCCTCTACCCTTTTGGCCTATTTACTTCCTTGTTTTGGACTGCTACAATAAACTCTTAAATGTCTTTTTATACCCACAGTTTCAAAATGTAGAGAAAGGGACTGGTTGCTAAACCCTGTTAAATATAGGCAGAACATGTAAACCTGGGCTTAATGCCTAAGCATATGCTGTACTTTAGGTCACCCAACTGAAATCAATGGGACTTCTGAAACTGTTAAGCAGTTCAGTAGTTGTTTTACCTGACCTTTTGATCAGGGATTGGAGAGGTGGGTACTGTACAGTATTGAACTTTGAGTACAGTAATCCACTGGACAGGTTGGTAAGGGATTCTTAAAGAAACTCATTGAGAACTCTCAGAGGAAACATCCACAGAGATTTGCCTTGAAAAATACATACATTAAAAGCCCAAACATCTGCTGGCCCCATCAGTCCACATGCTTGAGGTTCCTCTCCATCACTGCAGCTGACAGTTTGCTGACAGAGAACAGTGATGTCCCTACTGCTCTTCATAAACCTCCAGAGCAGAGGACCATATACAAGCTGCCTGATGGCAATGGTGACAGCCTGTGCTGATCCCTGCCAGCCCCATAAATCATCTGAGAGAGTCCCCATGGAGCAGAGCTAAACCTGTGCCAGGGCCTGCACCTGAAAACGAGCACTACAGATCATTGATTTGAACACCTGCACGTGGTCCCTGGCCCTGGTACACTCCTGGGGATGGGCACAGCCCACAGCTGGACAGGGGTGATCTGAATCTTCCTGGCACTAGCAGTGACCTCAAGTGCTGTGGGTTCACACAGTTCTCAGCACAAAATAAGATGGTGCCTGCACAGGCTGCCCTAAGTTTTCCTCTCCAGAACAGCAATGACCTGACCATGCAGGGATCTCATCGAGATGGTCCTATTTTAGGGAAGACTACTGAACAGGCTAAGGATCAGTTCTGGGATTATTTCATAGGACAAATTCTTTTCTCCCTGTTTCATGTGAAGTTCTATTCATGTAACAAACTGATTTTGACAGTTTGTGTCAGAAAAAAATCAGCATTTAATGCAAAATCAGCCCTGTGATTACAAATAGACTCACCATCCCTCAAATGTGCATGAGGTTCTAAAGTTACATGTGTGTTTACATACACATGTCCACACATGTATAATATGTGCATGTTTAAAATACATAATATATAACATAAAGTGGATAATACACCGAACCCTCATCTCACCTCGCTGACCTTTCGAAAGACTAGGAGGGAGAATTTCCAGAGACATTCATATAGTGTGTGAAATCTGTGCCCCACCAAGTCAGATTTTCCAAACTATTTCAGTGCCTAAAGATGCTGACAGACACCTACTGTGATTCCACAAAAGTATCTAGGCAGAGTGTGTGGTGAATTCATCTCAAGTCCACCAAGAATCAGAAAGCACCAAAGAAAACCAGTTGTGAAGATTTCTCTAAATACCGACAGCAGAATCACCTAGATCCTTTTCAGAATTCAACCCAGAATAATTAAGTGGAATATTTATAATGGAATTTTAAATCTTAAAAAAAATGGCATTTGAAAAATATGAGAGTTTGGAGAGCGGACAAAGATAATCTCAAACCATGTATAGTCACAGTATGCAGCAATGAATAGTGTCCTATATAAAATGGAGGTAAGAGAAACACAGACTATAAAATAAAAGCAAGAAAAACATTTCACTGGGCTTATTTGAGAGAAATAGTGTGCAGGTAAAAATGGCTGTTAACCTTTAAAGCTGGTATCCAACCCCAACTAGGTTATGATAAAATACGAGGGCACATCATAGTTTTTTGTTGAGTTCTGTTTTTACTTAATTTTCTGCAACTGAGCAAGATTAGATGGTTTGAAGTTGCCAGTGCTGGATGCAAGGCAGAACAGTCCCCAGTTCTGCTCTGCCCTACAGTAACAGTTCCTAAACAGAGTGGATTAACAGCATGTTCAGTGACTGTTGGAAAACAAGCAATATTATTTACAAACGTAACAAGGCTCAGTAAACATCCAGCTAAATAGAAGAAGGAAATAATTCCCACTTAACCAGAACACTTAGCACAATGGGGTGCACAGACTGACTTCTAATTTTCTTTGTATTTAGCAAATCAGGGAAATGCAAACTTGAGGAAACAAACTCTGAGAATGGATCTCATCATCACAGCCTTTCCAAAGCTAACTCCAAAGACTAGACATGTTACACGTGGCAGCTGAATTTATTTTAAAATGCAAGACTTGCCTCCTACCAGCCATTAGTCTGATGCCCTGAAGAAAATAATGAGACTGAAGATCTGTGGATGACTTTTTTCACAGATGCAATCAGGGCACACTTGTGACCTTCTCATTACGCCTCTCCAGGTCATCCCTGTTCCCATGAGAACTGCCAGGCACAGGCTAATGCAGCTCTTACAAACATTGGTAATAACAGCCCATATAAATTCCTAAAACAAAACTAAATCTTTTCTATAAACCAGCAAAGTAGTTTTATTCCTCCACACCCACCAAATACTGACTGATCAGAAGCTCTAAATGACCCATTTGATCACTTTGCAATTTTCACTGAACGATGCTGTAGCAAGGACCAGGAAAGTTAATCAAATCTAAGAAAGGATCATCCTTCCCCCCATTAGCACCCTTCCCTTCCTTTAACAAATTTCATCCTTCCCTCCATTACTCTGAGACAAAATGAGGGACATACCCCGTGGCGCTGTTCGTAGTAAGCCAGCTTGGATTTGGTTAAGACAAAGAAGCGCACTTTGAAGTTGGAGGGTGAAGTCCTTCTCTTCTGCTGGGATTTTTTGATCAGCAGTTCCTCCAGGAGCACACAGTTATTCATGGCTGAGCCAAGAATGTTTGTCTCCCAGGACATGAGAATTCTACCCTCTGTGCCCGTCTAAGAAAGAAACACAAGAAGGAAGACAGTTAATTAAAAAAAAAAAAAAAGTTGTTCAAAAGGCAGCGTAGGTGCTTTGAGCTTTATCTTCCCATCTACAGCAAAGCTTCCTTTCTGCCAGACCATAACCACATCCTCTGTGAAGTCATAAAATGAGCAGCACAGTTGAGATATACCCTAGGGTAAATGTTGTGGAAAAAATAACGCTTGATGGACATTCAGAAGGTGTGAATCAATGATTATGGATTAATTAAAGGGGTGTGGCATGATTAAGCATCTGTCTCCTACTTGCTTATCTAGTAAATACAGTTATAAATGCACACAACAAACACTTATGTGTGGGATGAGTGTCCTCACTGTCCTCTTAGAAGTAGGTCATGCATCCATATTTATTTTGTGAAGGAATGATACCTTCCCATTTGCAGTATTTAACAGTTGCCTGTGAGCCACAGAGATTTCATACAGTGGATTTTGAGGTAGTTCCCCATATAATGATTTAGCTGACAAGGTGGTGTTTGGTCAAAGGTTGGACTCAATGATCTTGGAGGTGCTTTCCAACCTTAATATTTCTATGATTCTATGATAACACGAAAGTTCCTACTATGCAAGCAAAGAAATTATATCCAAGGACATACTCAGAATCATAGAATCATAGAATATGCTTGTATAAGCAGTAACTTGCATAAGGAATAACTTTTATAAGGAATGTTAAATATATCATAGATATTTAAACTGAAGACAAACAGGTATAATAACCAATAATTGATTAATTATCATTGATTACTCTTTACTGATTACTAACTGCTTCAGGTGCAGTCTGATGAGGCTGTGGCTGGATGCTGCAGGAGGGAGAGGCACAACGTGCCCTCTGTGGATGGTATCAGGACCAACATCATCAGCAGTGAAGTGAGCTCAAACATCCAACCAAATCCAGCTAGTTTCCTCAGGCCTCCAGGGCACCACTCAGAGCAGTTTTCACCAGGCTAAATATAAAATTATAATAAAATTAGTATGCATCTAATGCAGTCAGTACAACAGCACTGTTCTATTTTAAAGCAAATGCAATCCATTTTTCTCTTCTCTTTCATTCTTAGTATTTTGTGTATTTTTTTTATCATTGACGAATAATTGTGTTGCTGATGGTATTGAGGCTTGGAGTCTGGTGGAGTGTGAGGAAACTGCAAGGTAAGTATTTTTATTAATTTTTATTAATTTCGTATTTCTGAAAATTGTTCCAGTGTAAATCATTTACCAGTGCTGAGTTTTGGCTCTATTTTAATGTAGTACTAGAATATAAGGAGGCAGCTCCCTATTGCTGCTTTTTGGAGCTGTTTGCAAGTTCAAAAGAAAATATTTCATTATTTTAAATAGAGCTTATGAGGAAAAAAATTCTGAACAAATATCAGAATTTCAAAAAAACGTGAAGACTTGGATTTTATAGCGCAGTTCATAAACAGACTTGGAAACCATATTCTCAATAGAATATATTGTTTATTCCTCAAAAAAAAAAGAAGTGGCATATCCCTTCCTTTCTGTTTCATGATATATTATTTAGGCAGTATGTTCCAGGGGTCATCAAACTTTTCCTACCAATTTTGTTCAATGTTAACTAGGAAACTCCATTTTCCATAAAAATACAATTTAAATATAGCACTTGATGTACAGATTTGTAAGAGAATTTGCTTAAGACAGTGCAGTACCATGGGCCAGAAACAAGGACAAACACAAGATGTTGTGCAGCTGATGCCTATATAAATATAGATGGTCTTGGTAGTCTTGCTGAAGATGAGATGCAGTGTATACTGAAACATTTGTCATGCAGAATTCTGTTAAAGTAAGGCTTTGTTTCTCGGCAGAGTGACTGAGTACCAAGGAACTCTTGTGGTGAGATGACACAAGTCTGTGATCTCCTGAAAAACCATCACTGGTGTCAAGGGGAATTTCATACCTATTTGTAGACTAGGATCAATGCCCAGGCCAAATTTCCCAATTCTTCTACAAACCCATTTGCCTCATGCAGTGCACATGTACGAAAAATGGAGAGTTTGATTAGAGTTTTCAAAATTTAGCCCTGTGTCAGCAGTAGCTGGATAAATTCCAGACCTTGAACCTCCAAAATATAGGACCACTTTTGCATGCACATAAATTTCTTTATGCTTGAGATTTTACTGATTTAAATTATGTTCAGAGATCCTTCCTTGTAATTAATAAACCAAAACATGCACAGAGACAAACTGTATGGATTCACTGTGCAACAATGAATTTTCCCCCAAAAAGGCTGTTGATCTTGATCAACAAGCATTTTACTTGATTTGTGTCAATACAGAAGCATTTATAATGACAGTTTGTAATGGCATTGCATTTTTAGCTAATAACACTTATTTAGGACTATGTTATTTTTTCTTGTCTCTTCTTTACACTTACTGTAGTGTGTTAAGAACTTTATGAAAATTCTTTGTAGCTTGGCCAAGGGAGTTGCAGTCTGCTGGCAGAGATGCACATGTTTTATCAGAAAATTGAGTATAAATAGAAATACAAGGGTATGACATTGCAGCTCTGCAGAAAAAGCGAGGGGTACAGGACAGCAGAGAGGTGAGACATCAGCGCTCTGAGGGGAGCGAGGCTGCTGGAGATGGGAGGATGTGGGGGGAGAAGAGGTTCAGCAAGGGTGGTGAGTAGTGGGGGGAGAGCTAAGAAATTCTTTGAACATAGTGACTGGCAGCTTGATTTCTTCAGGAGATAAGAGCTGAGTTCTCAGAGGGGCATGATTTGATCAAATACACAGATAAGGGGCTTGGCAACTGCGCCTCATTTGGCGTAAACATGGTGCGATGCACCACAGGAGGTCTGATGGGAAGGTGCTGTGAGGGGCAAGGTAAAAGAGAGATAAACAAGGAGCAGCTGAGAATACAGATTTGATACAACACATGCAGATGTAAGAAAATAATCCCAGATTTTGGCCCGGAGTGATAGAGAATGTCATAGCTGTGTTAGAACCGGCAGGATTTAGCAGGCTAGATCGGCCACTCTGAGTTTTCCATGTTGAGCTCAAACTGATGGTGGGCCAGCTAAGATATTAAGCAGAGAAAAAAAGTAAGAATGATCAGGAGGAAGGAAACAAGTCAACACAGCCAGATTTGGGTGCCATTGATATAAACATGGGAGCTGGTTTCAGTGGGAGCTGCTAACTAGCTCTGTTTTGCAATATCTGTATCAGCTGATAACTCTTCAGTGTTGAGCTTGGGAGGAAGGTAGGGGCTGACACATTTTTGTATCCAATCTTGCTATGGATCTACTCCTTCATTTTTCTTTTTTCACTTTAAATCCAAGCCCCACGTGTAGCAAACACAGAAATAGTTCAGTGTTACAAGCCAAAACCAGAATATGAATGCTAAGTTTAAAGAATGTATAGCCAGGTTGACACGTATAAACTAAAATCATATGGTCTAAGAATTGTATTCGTATTTAATTACACATTTAGGAGAGAGTAACCTGATTATGTATACTTGAATTTAATTTCAAAGATCATGGTTTCCTGACTAATTTTTAAATAAAATTGTTTTAAATAAATTGTTTCTTTCAAAACATGGACTGTAGACAAAAATCATTTTTCATTATCCATCTGGGTGACTAACTGTTTATAACCCTTTTAAAGAAAGCCTCAGACATTTAAGGGGTTCAGGACCTTTCTACAGTAGAGTAGGATGTAGGTATATATGTCTATATTTATTTAAGTAGAAATACACCACTTGTCTAGGACCAAGGGGGCTGCAGAGCTGGAATATGTGAGGATACCTGCAGAGCTCTACACACAAAGTACAAAGTCTTCCTCAAAGGGCTCCTCAGGAGAGCTGGAATATCCCATTAGCACAAGTACCTCATTTCTGAAAGCTGACACTGTATTATGGTACAGTTTTACACCAAATGTATGAGCACGCTCCTTTCAAGACTTCTGGCACCACTATATATTTGCATGGTACAGAAATTCTGTATCCTTAATAGAAAATACTTAAATATAACTGTCCTAAATATCTTAGAACCACTGTAAGACTATCCTTCAAGGGATGATGAATTTTTTAGGTATCCTACATATTCTCTACTTAAGTGCTTTTATAAAGCCTGCTACCATGTATCTTTGACAATTTTTCATCCATATTCAGGAAAATCTGAAATACTTTAAATGATTCAGATTTAAGTTTGAGCTCTGTGTGCTCTAAATACTCCTCTATGCTGGGTAAGTTGAGGTTACAGATAAAGTTATTCTTATCAACTGTGGCCTCAGTGGACTCCTTTTTTTTCTTTTAATCACCTTTGTTCATTCCTTGCTACCTCCTGCAAACTGCTCTATTTCTGCTTTAAAAAATGTTATTTTAGGGATTGGATTTTTTCGTAGGGGATTTACCCAGATTATGCAGTTCACACTTTGATTACTGCCGACTGCGAAAATCTCCCCACCCGCACATCCTGCCCTGATACCAATGCTTATGTCCTGAAGGCGGCAGAGAAATGTGTAAAGTTAAATATAGATTATTTTTGTTTCTGTAAAAAAAAAAAACAGTCCGCAAGGCTGCAACTCTCTCTTCACTCTCATAAATTGACCTATATACTTCTATCATGTGTAATATTTAGGTAAGGTTTACTGCCTGGGTGCCAGCTCTTCCTTTACACCAGCTGCTCAATACAATGATTATTACTCCACTTCTAAACTTCCATAATTCAACCCATTTTGCTACTTAGGTTAGAGTGTGAGAAACTCTTATTTAGGTTACTCAGCTGTCTTGCTTCTTTGACAGTTCATTATCACCCCAATAAACATGTCTCCAGTAGACCCAAAGAACAAGGCAGAAAGCTGCAGAAAAAGGGAAGAATTAGCCTGGTCTTTCTGAGCCAGATGCATCCAGCTTTCCCCTAGGTCTCACAATTGCACCTTTGAATCTGCTCACGCTGCTGCTCCCAGTGACCAAGGGAGTTGCTCTTGTAGAACCAGAACAAGATTCTCCTGTGAACTGTCTGGGACCCCTGGGAAAGCAGATGCCTTGTTCTGAGCATTGCTAGGAGGATGTAGTGAATTATCCATCATTTGAATGCCTGAAGTGAATCACTCCCAGGCTTACTGATGTTGGCAGTAACATTGACAACATGCTTTATACTCGCGAATTTGCACCGGGTTAGGACAGGCTCTTCTGTGATGAAGGGAGAATTAATTCTGTCCTCAGCTGTTCTCTTAGGGAAAAATGCAGAAAAGGAAACCTAGTTTCATGGGGTTGTACCCAAACTGGGAATGTGTTCCAGCTCCTTTTATCAGTGCCTGCCTATCATGGTTTCTTTCTGTTACTGTCTCCCTCTGAAGACACAGGCATGACATACACTGCTGGCAAAGTGGCAGTGCCAGTGTTTATTCTGGCAATATGACGTTTGCTGCTACCCAGGTTGCTGATGGATGGACAGGGATTACTTCTTCATGCCATGTAGATGCATTTTTTGAGACATGTTCACTTACATGTTAGAATAGGTTGTCACTGCAGGCGTGTGACCAAGAGAACACACAGCATTAAAAATCAGTTTGGGGAGCTGCTTTCAGAAAAAACATTATGATTATGAGCACAGAAAAGACTATTGGATGATTCTATCAAAATGTGTGTGGATTTTGAAGCATGTCAATTTATTAAGCAGTAGTGAGATACCTGTTTTATTGCTAAATAGCCATTCAAGCTCTGTTCTGAGCTTTGAATCTGTTTGAATCTGCTAACAGGCTGTTTAGTAAGAAACAGGTCAACTGTCATGTACAACTCCCATATGCACTGCCCAATTTTTACATGATAGGAACATTAAACTTCTTTCCTACATTAGTAGGTGTGCCAACAGTCTGCAGTTGATATTTTAGTCTGAGGAGTCAGGAAGAAAAAGCTGCACAGTACTGCACTGCAAATTCATTAATTCCCACAGCCACAGCAGGAGACAGGGAGATGGGAATTAACCACAGCAGATGGAGACATAAAGCTTGTTTAAGTCCCCTTCACCACCGACAGGCTCCTTTTCTCTTCCCCTCCTCCCTGGTATATTCTACAACAAAGCCTGTAACAATCACCAAAAAAGGAATTCCTGAGCTCATTGCTTAAGCAGATGTAAGATATAACACTCACCTAAACCCAACAAGAGACTGGAACTGAGTTTCATTTTGGGTTTACTTTTTCAGACAACATGAGAAAAGCACACACACATTTATTTATTATTCAGAGTGAAGTAGCAGTCAAAAATGGAAGAAATATGTTGTACCACAGAAGAGAGCAGCGCTCTTCTAAAAAAATGCTTGAAAACGGGGTTTATATTTACTGTGCTTCCACAATGTTTGGATTCAAATTGTGCTAAAATAACAGCATACTGCAATGGTACACACTGTACACACTGCTGCTGAATTAATAGAACTGGAGTGTCTGATACTGAAACATGCCAATTTGCCTAAAATTAGTTATGAAGAAAACGAACATAAACTTAAGCAGTAAATTAAGATGTTGTGTCTTCGAGGTGAAGAATATCATTGTACTGATTCACCATCTGCTGAAGGGGTGTCCAGATTCAGTCCCACAATTTGGAGATGCTGTAGGAATTGTGATGCATTATCAGTGGTATGTTTGTACTGGACAGCATCCTTATTTCGGAAAAGAGCTGAAATGTAGCAGAAAGCAAATTGGAGAGTGCTCCTCATAACACTCACTATCACTCTTAATTTCTCATTTAGAACCACTGTAAGGAGAAATGTTCACAGCTTCCCATAGGCTGGAAAGGGTCATCCATGGCTCTTCTGAGAACCAGCCATGCTACCAAGAATGAGACTGAAAAACTTTAGTCGACGTTATATCCCCTCTGTCTTGGCCACTATCATACAGACTGAGAAAATGAGTCAAGAAGATCACCGAGATCATGTAAAAAACAAGTGCTTGGCCCTCACTGTCTTCTCCTGTTTGAAATCAGGGCGTTTTACATCCTTGCTACACAGTTCACTGACAGCAAGGTACTAGAGAATCAAGCTCAGCTCCTGTTAAAAGAATGTGAAATCAAAGTCTGGAAAGTCCAATAAAACCAAAGGTGTATTAGTACCTCCTTCTACATGGGTTATCTCATGCATGTCTGGAGGTGATGCTTTTTATTCCTTGCCTGTCTTTCAGAGTATGATGTAACGAGATGATTTAAGAGCTTGCTGCCACAGAAATGAGGAGAACTGTTCCCCTCCCCATCTCCCCAAGCTCCTCCTTTCCTCCTGCCTATGCACTCTCCTCTCTTAAAAGCTCACCCTGATGCTCACACGTTGACTTAACTCTCTAGAAGAGCTGAAAACTTAATCCAGAAAAATGGTAGTAAGGTTTTCTGTGGGTTTGGAGCTGCATCTGTGTCCTTTGCAATCCAATGCTTGACAGTGACAATACAAAGTGCTGAGAATAAAGGACTGCACAGCCAGAACTGGGGGACTGGAGGAGCATTTCCAAGGGATGGTTAGCCCAGATCCAGAGCTGAAATGCTAAAAACTGAACACGACGTGCAAACCACCTTATCCTGTTGTGTTTTTTCTGCATTGTGTCGCCCACTGTGGCTTCCCATTAGGATATTTATGCACAAAGGATGAGCACCTTCTGTACTCAACCTCTTGGGTCTGAGCAATCCATTCACACCCAAGACACTTCAGTCCATATTGATGTTTCTGAAAAGAACTCACATCTTGGGGCACCACAATATCCTTAATGTAAGGACCTTTGTTTCATTTTTTAAGTCAAAGTAATGGCATTCAAGAGCAGAAAATGTGAAAAACTACTTCAGATATCAGGCATTATCACATCTGGCAGTCTAGAAATTATTGATAAACACAGATTGAGCCCAGCTCAATTTCCTGTCTTTCCCTAAAGTTGTGAGTCATTACCAAATGGCAAGGATACTCTCCTTCGGACAATATGCATAAATTGAGCCCTAGTTACTTAAAAAGAAAATCCTCAACTCCACGTTTGAAAATATAAGATAGTCCACATCCATATATACATGAATGTGGATAAATACTAAATTATGATGGCATCAGTGAAAAGGAAAACTTTTAACTCAGACTAAGGAATGAAACCATACAAGATTAAGAAACAATGTAATAATTAAAATCAGCAGCAGCAGAACGTAAACTCTGTAAATACCATACAGCACTGTCAGAGAACAAGGACATTGAACTTCATTTAGGGTGAGACTTCTTCAGCAAGTTCACTGAAATTCCCTGCTATGTGACAGACACTCACTGAGAATAAATGTCTCAAAGAGGGTAATTTCCTCTTCAAAATATATTTTGCTTACAAATGAAACCAGATCAGCCTATTTCGCCACCAGGGCTGTACTCACTGTCAACTGTAAAGTATATTTGGTTTGGAATATATAAATATTCAACTGTTCTGTAAAATATCTATACATCATTTCAGGCTTTCTAATCAAATAAATCTATTCTAGGTCTTCTTTGAATCGTTTTAGAAATAATTAACAGGATCCAAGCTAATTATCATTCAACTGAAACTTTTTCGGTGACATGATCGATCTCGAAGCGTGGATCTGTAAACGACAGTGCGTGTGCACGCGATGGGTCCCTGTCACACCAAGGCCATTGCTGCCATCTGCTGAGGGAGAGAGAACGGCACAGGAACGGCCAAGTGTCAAAAAAGTACTCCCTGTTGGCTATTCCAGGGAGAGATTCCTGCAGAGGCGATGCCAGAAAGCCCAGCTCCACCTGACCCACAAGGTGAAAAACTAAAATCCACGGGTTTTACTTCAACTCCCTTTAGAACAAAACTGAACGAAAAGCGACGGAGCCGAACCGTTTGCTAGAATATGCTCAGGAATGCAGGAATGCTGGGAACACTTCCAGGGTGATGCTGTGATTCCATGGTCAGTGTTAATGCCCGCGGTATATTTGGATGCGTGGAAGCTCCTGGTACCGTGTGATCTCCACACACACGGTCACATTAAATGCCATCACTGCGTAATTCAGTGTTTAATGTGCAACAATCTAAACGCGCCCCTCCAGCTCAGCCCGTGGCTGCAGCCAAGAGGCGGTCGGGTTCTGTTTCCCGCAACCAGCGACAGGACAAGAGGGAATGGTCTGAAGCTGCGCCAGGGGAGGTTCAAGCTGGACATTAGGGAGAAATTCTTCACAGAAGGGATGTTTAGACATTGGAAGGGAGGTGGTGTAGACACCGTCCCTGGAGGTGTGTAAGGAAAGGCTGGACGTGGCACTCAGTGCCCTGGTCTGGTTGTTCGGCCACAGGTTGGACTCGATGTTCTCAGAGGTCTTTCCCAACCCAACTGACTCCGTGATTCCTACGATTCTGTGTCTCCCAGCAGCGGGGCCATCCTCACTCAACCCCATCCCCGCAGGGACACCAGGCCGGTCCCTCCCCTCCCCTGCCCTCCCCTCCCCGTTCTTCCGCCTCAGGAGCGGTTTCTGGCGAGGAAGCCCCGCAGCCCTGAGGGGTCACGGCGGCGCGACGGGACGGGACGGGACGGGACGGGACGGGACGGGACGGGATGGGACAGCCCCGACAGCCCCTCCACCCCCTCCACCCCCGCCATAGCGCGCACCCCCCCGGTGCCCAATTCGCGCTTGGCACCGCCCCCCGAGGGAGCTGAGTGGAGAGAGCGTCTGACTGATGTTCGCGAAAGCCAATCAGAGTGCGGTACCGAGAGGCTGCGAGCCAATGGAAGGCAGGGGGAGGGGCCTCTGTCCGGAAGCGGCGGCGCTGAGGGAACGCGGCGGGCGGTGAAGGCGGCGAGGGTGAGTGAGGGAAGGTGGGGGCGAACGAGCAGGTCCCCGCGGGCCCTGGATGGGTTCCGTCCCCTCCGCCAGTATCTGGTCACATCTCTTCTCTCCTCAGCACTGGCCTGGAGAGCCCTGCGGCCCAGAGCCCGGCCCAGCCCGGAGCAGGGCAGCGAAGCTCGGCGCGGGCGGGTGTGGGCCCGGCCCGGTTTCTCTCGTGGGTCGCGTGTGAAGAGGGGAAGCCACACGAGGAGCGGCTGAGGGCACTTGGTCTGTTCAGCCTGAAGAAGCAGGAGACTAAGGGCAGACCTCACCATGGTCTGCAGCTTCCTGACGAGGGGCAGAACCGGTCTGTGCTCTTCGTGACCAGTGACAGGACCCGAGGGAATGGCTGGAGTTGTGTCAGGGCAGGGTTAGCTGCATATTAAGAAAAGGTTCTTCACCCAGAGGGTGGTCGGGCACCGAACAGGCTCCCCAGGGCAGTGGTCACGGCCCCAAACCTGACAGAGCTCAAGAAGCATTTGGACAACGCTCTCAGGCACATGGTGGGATTGCTGGGTTGTCCTGTGCATGACCTGGAGTTGGACTTTGATGATCCTCGTGGGTCCCTTCCAACTCAGGATATTCTGTGGGGTTCACAGACTGGGCTCCAGCTAGGGAAGGGGTCTCCCCCTCCCTGTGGCTGCTCAGTTTACAGGCTGGTGCTTCTTGTTTTGGGAAATTAGTGTTCTGTGTCCTACTGTGGTTGATCCTGCTGTAAGTAAACCTTAGTGAAAAGTAACATGGATTTATCAGTAGTTTCCTGTATTCTGCACGTTGGGTTGTCTTTCTTCTGGCTCATTTTCTCAAGGTCACTTCTCTTGCATAGTCTTTGTTTATATTTATATATTAATCTTGTGACACAAATTGTTAACATATGTTTCTTGGGACATTCCCGTAGGTATTTTCATCTGGCAAAAATGGGTGAACCTCAGCAAGTGAGTGCCCTTCCTCCACCTCCAATGCAGTATATAAAAGAATATACTGATGAAAATATCCGTAAGGGCCTGGCTCCAAAGCCCCCTCCCCCTGTGAAGGACAGCTACATGATGTTTGGAAATCAGTTTCAGTGTGATGACCTGATCATTCGGCCCTTGGAGAGCCAGGGTATTGAACGGCTGCATCCCATGCAGTTCGATCACAAGAAGGAATTAAGAAAACTTAATATGTCTATCCTGGTCAACTTTTTGGACCTCTTGGATATCTTGATAAGGAGCCCAGGGAGCATAAAGCGAGAGGAGAAACTGGAAGACTTGAAACTGCTTTTTGTCCATGTCCATCACCTTATAAATGAGTATCGCCCTCACCAAGCCAGGGAGACACTGAGAGTCATGATGGAGGTGCAGAAACGTCAGCGCCTGGAGACCGCGGAGCGATTCCAGAAGCACCTGGAGCGGGTTGTGGAGATGATCCAGAACTGCCTGGCTTCCTTGCCTGATGATCTGCCTCATGCAGAGGGAGGACTGAGAGTGAAAGTGGAGCCCATGGATACTGATGATGGCAGCAACTGCATCGGACAGAGCGAAAAGCAGAGAGAGCGTTCAGGTGGCAAGAGAGATCAGGTTTTAGACAAGGACGCAGCGATGTGCAGCATTATTGACGAAATGACATGAAGAAAACACCTTGCTGTGTTAATGCACCACAGGGAGAGGCAGGATGTATTCTGAGGCTACACATAGTTTGTTTTGCTGTTGTACAAGCAGATAAAGCATTTCTTGTGCACATGTTGGAGGTTGTGAGTGACTGGGCAGATGAAAGTGTTTGATATTTTGTGACCTGTGTTTTTTTGGTAGAAAGAAAAAAGTATAATTTTTGTGAAATGTACTGTGAGGTGGTAGGCACAGATTAAAGTTGACTTTTTCTGTTGTACTTTCATTTGTCACTTCCTGCGTATTTTGGGGTCATCTCTCTGATTTTTGGGTATGCCATTCTATGGTTCTGTATGCTCTGAGGAAAGAAAAAATTTCTACAGAAGTGGTGCTTGTTTCTTGCACAAGCAAAACACGGAAGCTTGGAAAACAGGCACGTGGAAACTCAAGTTGCACCAAGGCATTCCTTATACTCTGTGTTTGAGGCGAAATCTAAAGCAAGTGGGTTAACTGTTGTCCTGTAGCTCTCCTATTCTCTTACTGTGTGACCAGAACAGCTTTCCTGGGATACAGACAGCACTCAAACAGCTGCTGACTAATGTGTGAACAGAATAGCCTGGGTGAAGTGAGTAGAATGGACACAGACAGAGCTCTGGGATAAGAGTTCCTTTATTTTCTCATCCTGTTTATTTATTTCAGAGCTCAGACGTGGCTCATGCAAGGGAGGAACCTGTGTAGACCTGTGCACAGCACATGTTTTGCAGGGGACTGTGGGAAGGGCTGTGTCCTGGTGTGCAGGTGGGTGTTTGCTGCACGCTGAACCACCAGAGCTCACCAGCTTGTGCCAGGCACTGTGGGGAATGCAGTCACCCCCCTCCTGCCAGAGCCAGCTTGCCAGGATCCTGCTGGCCATTATCAGAATTGTTCCTTTAGCAGCTGTCTGCAGTTTCCTGTTTCCACAGAAACACCAGGAGTGAAGAGGAAGCGCTTTTCTTAGTGTCCTGCTTCCAGCTGCTGCACGCAAAAGTCACACTGCATGCAAGTCACCCTTCATTCCTCTTACTCTCACTTCTCTCCTGCAAGTGTGTTGCTAGTGTTTGTCTCTCAGCTGCATTAATCCCTTGGTTTTCCTAATTTTCACTTAAAGAAACTGTCACTTTGGTGCCTCTGCTCTCTAAGGTATCCAGTGCGAGACAGCTCTGTTGGTTCTAACTCCTTAGTACTTAATTTCATCTGTATAAAACACTGTGAGGTAGATTAGTAGCTTCAGCAAAGAACACTTCTTGGCTCTGGATCAAATACCCTTGATCACAGCTGCAGTTCTAATCCAAACAATATAAAAAGACAAGATATCCTTGAGAAGAGTTTGGTGATCCAGGGACACAGGGGGAGTGGCCAGGGAACAGCCTTTATCAAAAGCTATATTTCAGAATTTTGTCAGAGTGAGCCTTGAGTCTGGGATGAGACAGTTTCCACACTACTTTTTAAAGTGATTCTGCATTCTGGATGTTTTATCTATATTGCAAAAGCTCAGGTGCATATGGAATTTTTAAGAGTCAGATGAAAAGAGACTGCAACTCTATTTGGCTCAACTGTGTAACAGTAGGACAGTTTTCCAATACTACCAAATTATTGCTGCCAAGGAAAATTTACCAGAAGATGCTCTGAGTTGCTTCTAAGTATTAGAACCAGAATTTTATGATTAAAAGCTTGAGTAGTTCTTTCTAGGAATCTTTTATTTTGTCAAGTCCTTTCTACTTACCACACTGCTACATATCCTATGTAATCTTTTATCCAGTTGCTGTCTACTATGGCAAAAGCAGGTGTGGGAAGCAGTCTGGGGCAATGGTTGTGGTAGTTGTGTGAGCTCAGTGGCGCTGACAAGTTTCACTTATGGTAATCAAGCGGATCTGGAAAAAAGAGAACTAGATTTCTGTGGCACTGCGAAGTGCTGCCTCTCAGTCACACCCCGTCAGCGGCAGCTCAGCACTGTACACTTGTACCTTGCCTGCAGCTCTGCCTGTGCTGCAGGAGACAAACAGCCCAACCACGGGCAAAAAGATCAGACTGGGCTGAAGGGCACCCACAGCTGTGTCTGGACATGGTGTGCTAAGAAGTAAACAACGAAGTTTACCTAGAAGATAAGTTTTCTTGAATGAGGAGGGTGAGCGGGAGTGTTCCTCATCTTCAGCCATGTTGTTGTCTTATGTCTGCATGACCTGGATTCTTCTGGTCCTGTTTACAGGTAACTAAGTGGGCCTAAACAACTAGACAGTGGTGGATGGAGGTATCATGCATCAGTGATTCTGAGGGTTGCAAAGTGAGAAATTTTATCTTACAACAGGAAGAGTGGCCACATATCACAGAAACTGCAGCTTTGCGTTAGAATTTTATCACAGTGACTCAATAGTGTTCTAGTGGCCTTATCACCTTTTTAAGACAAAATCATGTTTGAGGGTATGATGGTTTTAAAGATGCTCCTTCTTGAGCTAGTCTTGGCTCCTGCTAGTCTGATTAGTGGGCTTTTAAAAACTGATCCAAGATGAGCAGAAAACTTTAAATCACTTTAGAGAAGTTGTAAAACAAGGATATTTCACTTTGGCAGACTTTGTGAAGGTGAGAGCTTAGGAAGACAGGGAAAAGGCCAACTGTGGCTTCTGGTGTTTTTTAGCTAATATGAAATTGTATTGGGACAAATTGGTAATTTCTCCTTTTTTTTTTTTTTTTTTAATCTGAGGAACCAGTCCTAGATTGTTAAAGGCAACAGCACTGAAAACAACAGGTTGTAAAGTGGTACTAATAAAGACAGACATTAAAAACTTGGTGGTAAGATAAATTCAGTAGAAAGAAAAGGGATATTACAGATACTATTTCCTGTAGTTCTTTATACAATCTTTTATGATAAGATTCATTTCAAGCTTCCTTTTTATATTAAATAAAATGATAGACCAGACTGGACTTTCGATAGAGATAGTTTGTTGCCTGTTTTTGCTGCACAGAACTCTATTCCTGAAATGTTAATATGGATAGATTAAAATATTTACACATTTGATACAATGTTACTGAATTTGATAAGAATGGGCAGTAGTTGGTATATAGAAAATTATTTTCTTTGAAGTACAAACAGCGTGTGCACTTTGGGAGCCTCACTGCATACCCTGTTAGAAGAAAGTGGTTACAGGATGACTGTGACTGGATCCCCAGAGCACAAATCATTTTGACTGGTACTTAACTAGCTTTTAATAAAACCCTTCTAAAGGGAATATTGACTGGAGTGATCTAGATACACAAAAGAAACTATCTCACTGTATGAATGAGTGCTAGGGCTCACTGTGTTCACCTGAGTAGTGTGACACAGCCTTCTGGAAACGTGAAAAATTAAGGGGAACCAAACAAGTTAGAACCTGCATAAGAGTGAGAAGAGAAAATAAGGTAGTGGAAAAAAAAGAGTATAAAATTTCTCAGAAAAGCTCTGAAAAATCCCTTCTGATCAGAATGGGCAAAACCTGACTTAGGGAAAGAAAACCAGAAATTCATTCAGCAGTAATCATTATGATGAAACCTTCCGTTTAGTGGCTCTTCATTGAAAGGGAAGAACAGTTTCCGACAGTGGTTTTGATTAAAGTCAGCATCTTACTGCTCCCCTCTGTGTGGCTTGGATTACATCTAAAGGAAGGAAAAGAGCTGACAGACTGCACCTGACTCAAGAGAAGCCACAGAGTTGAGCAGATCCAAACACTGTTGTCTCTTCACCTCACTGCCTACCTGCAGAGGCTGAAGAAAGTGTATTTCTTCTTTCTGTGATGAGAGACATGTTCTGAACATGTAGTTGGCCTGATCGCTATCCCTCACTGCATCATTCCTACTGGGAATTTGTGGAAAATTCCTATTTGTGGAAAATCTGCTCCAACAATGCCTGGTGGTGTTTGAGAGATGAGAAGTGTCAGGACAGGCAAGATGCACAAGAAGCTACCCCCTTGCATGCCCTGTACTCAGCAGCTCTGTTGTTTTGTCCACAGGCCCCACAGTATCAGAAACAGTGATCGGAGAGGTCGGTCAGAACGTCACCGTGCCCTGCTCCTACAGCGTCCAGAGGACACAAGACATCACATCCATGTGCTGGGGTCGGGATAGCTGCCCTAATTCACGGTGTTCTCGGCCCATTATCTGGACAGATGGATGGAAGATGACAGAGCAGTACAGCAGCAGGTACCTATTGCAAGGGAAACTGCAGGAGGGCGACGTTTCCCTCACAATTGTGAACGCCGAGGAGGCAGACAGTGGGACTTACTGCTGCCGTGTGGAGCACTGGGGGTGGTTCAACGATCAAAAAACTAATCTCAAGGTTGTGATAAAGAAAGGTGAGTACAGAGGTGTGCTCTTATCTGAGTACCTTGTAGTAAATCTGCTCTTGGGTCTCGGTTTCAAAGCTTGTGGTGGAAATAGTTTCTACGATCATCCATAAGGCTGATCTTTAGGACCTTGCAGATCTTGCTGTTAGTGCTGTTCAAACTGAGCTGTCTTTGGCAAAGTTCTTATCCCAGCACAGTCACTTCAATTAAAAAAGGATGTGGTACTTTGTTTCACGGTGCACAGCACTACTGAGCTTAGAATAACTGAAGAGTTTAAGAGAAAGGGCAGCACACAGTACTTAGTTCATTCAAAGTATTATTGCTGCACTATTTTCATAGAAAGCCATGTTTGATTTTCCCTACTTGATTCTAGAGTAAAGCCCAGGGACACAAAATTGATATAGAGAAGTTTTTTATCAACTCTTCCTTTGATTTTTAGTTTTTCTCTTGCTTGTGAAAAGCACGATAATATATGGAACAACTGGCTGACAGAGGTACTTGTGTAGCTGGTGCTAGCAAATCCTTACTGTAGAAGCACTGTCTCTTTTTCACTACATAAATGCACACTAAGGCTAATTATAACATGTGTTGGTTTTGTTTTATTTTTTAACATCAGCTAAGATCTCTACTGCAAGTCCTCACACTTACACCTCTGAACAGACATCAGGTAACTTTTATCCAAGTATTAATCTCAATAGCGTATATAAGGCATATTGCATGTGGGGATCTTAGGAAGGAAACAAAATGATTCTGGATGATAGAAATGTCTTGGCTAAAATTTACTAAACATTACCATAGAATGAAAGATCAGAACTTGGGTTTAAATTCTGCCTGATATTATGTGGAGTCCAACAGAAGGAACATGTATATGTGGGAGGAAGCTTGCTTCCAGATGTGATACTTCAGAGGTTTTAGTGGTTCTTCAAGCTTTGCTTTTATTGTGGCTGTTGTTTTGGTTTGTTGGTTTGTTTGTGATATAAAATCTCACCTCTTCTTCTAGAAGTGCATTTCCTGAGGAGTGAAACTCAACTTTTGAGGAGCTGGGTGTACCCATTGCTTAATCAGCTAATTTGTTGCTCAATAATATAGAACTGTTTTATTGGACTAGCTCAAAAGCACATCTAATCCAGAATCCTGTCTCCAGTAGCAGTCAACAGCAGATAATTAAGGAGGATCATAGAAACAGGGCAGTAATTTTGTGATACAGTGCCAAAGTATTCTTCTACCCTGATATATGATGTGTCTCAGGTGTTGCCCACATCCTCTGTAGCCTGTGAACATTTAAAAACACGAGGTCTCTCACTGTAGTGGAAGAGACAGTGCACAACTGTTCCCTACTCAGTTTCTCCATTCCCCTCACAAGTGGATAAATTTCTATCACATACCCGCTCAGCTGCATCTTTTTCAGTCTGAGAAAGACACCTTTAATTTGCATTACACAAGAGAAAGCTCATGGTGTAACAGTATTTTCTGAATTCTGAAAGAAAAATCAGGGATGCCATTTGTATTTCTCCCTTTGTCTTGGATGTTTCCAGCTAAGCAACTCTAAATTAGGTTGTTACAACAGTTGCATTTCCTTTTTGGAAAAAGAAGTGAAAACTTTCTCAGACTGCTTCTATTCTAGTTGCAAATAATATGGCTTCCCATCTTATAACTCATGGGTTTTCTTAACCCTGTGACATCTTTGTTGGCTGATGGTGGAACAATGTTTTAAGTTTTCAGAACACAAGTTAGTATGTGCATGTTCACATAGAGAGAGACTGGAAAAGGCAGCTGGCTGTGTGCCTCTGATGTAGAAATACTCCAGAGTTCCCAACGGCAGAGAACAGTGAAGCCAATGATCCTGTCCTGTTCAAAATAAAGCTTCTGGGAATAAGGGTAACAATGTAAAACATTAAAGCAACCAGCTAATGTTGTCCTGAAGTGAACAGGAGATTTTGTTTTTATATCATCTGAGAACTCGTGGAGAAACTGAGACTGATGATAAAGAAGTCAGAAGTTTGTAGCTCTTAATTTTAAATATTGCAAACAGCTTTGCTCTGGGAAATTACCTCAAAATATGCTGCAGGTCCTTATGCAAATATGTCACATTTTGGTCAGTCTGTTTACTGCATAGCTGTCTGGGACTTTAAAAGTATCACTTGCTTTTTGACTCTGCATCAGTTGCTGTTTCAAGGCCCTGGGATAACCTTCATCAGTTTTCACCAGATGACCTAAGTTCACTTTAGGCATCATTTTTTGCTTCAAGGCCAGGTTGGATGGGGCATTGAACCACCTGGTCAAGTGGAAGGTGTCCTGTCCTATGGCAGGGGGATTGGAACTGGGTGATCTTTGAGGTCCCTTTTAACCCAAACCATTTCATGATTCTATAATCCACTGCTTCTTGGCTCCAAACCCAGATGGCTACCTTGATAACTCCTTCCCGGTGTTCACATAACAGCAAGAGCCAAGTGTTTCCTGGAAGGAATTCAAAGCTCTGAAAAGGGCAGCAGAAACTCCAATATTCAGAGTTTTGTGCTGACCTGTGAAGACTCCAACCTCTTTATGATATGCAGAGCCCAGACTACTGATAGACATTTAAGTTCAGTGGTTCCAAGTCAGCAGTACAGATTCCTCTGTGTCAAGGCAGAATGGTTCTCTGTGCAGGTGATGTGTTTTTCTTGTCTTTGCTCAGGTCCTGGAAGCACCAGTGGATCCTCCTTTACTGTCACAGAAACGTGGCCAGCATCTGCCTCAGAAGCTCCTGAGAATGTAAGCATCTCCTTTGCTGCAGCATACCTGGGCAGAGTGGATAGAAATGAGAGTTTATTGGGTCATCCCTACAGGCACTTCCACTGCTTTTGTTTGATTGCAACAGAATATTGTTGTTTATGGAAAAGAGATCTTATAAAAGAGGAGGGGAAAAAACCTGCTTAGCATGCATAAAGTACTTCCTACTAATGGAGGAAGAGCTTTAGCAACATATACATTGCCTTTCAGGCCTCTGGTCCCTGCTCTGACACCTCAGACTGCTCAGATGTTACTGCAAACCTGCAGGTATGGCAGGATGTGGGGGAGAGTGGAAGTTGGACCACCTGGGAGGACAGGGATGCCCTGCACTTCCTGTGCAGTGGGGTTCAAACAGGCTGTCCTGCCAGACCTCTCCCTGTCCTGCTGAGTCCTCCAGCACGTATTACAGGGTGACAGGCAGTAACAGCACCCAAATTTTATGAGGAAGACCAGCCAGCCAAGCCAGCCTTCGGGGAGGCCTGCTGTGATGTACAGTCAGACAGTCTGTGCTGTGGAAGTTCATGCTGCTGAATGTACAGGATGCAAGTCAGGGACCATACTGTGCTTCCAGTGTCTTTCCAGGCCTGAGATACCAATGGCAGATTAGATACTAGCAGCTAGCATCAGAAAGAAGTTTAGCCTAAATAAAAAACAATGCAAAGAGAAGGTGCATTTACTTATTGATATAAAGCCTTGAATAATTGCTGAATAAGCTGATAAGAAGGTGGGAGGGTGTGACATCAGGAGATATTTTGATCATAGAAAAATTCACCAAATAGTATTAAATCTCAATAAATGAAATTTGTCATAACCTCAGGTCATTTGACAATCTCAGAAATTTGTTTAACAGCATGGGTCACCTAAATGTTGCAGTGATTCTGCTTGAAACTTGTCCTGTATCTCAGATTAGGCTTTTGGTCTCAAATATACTTTTCCTGCAGAGTTGCAAAACATATAAATGGCCTTTGAGTGCTGTATGGGCTTCTTGCTGCCAGTTCCACTAATGCTCATCTACCTTGTGTTTCACAGAACACCTCTGTATCGCTTCCCAGTCAGCAGTATTCAGAAAATGGTCTGTACATTGGGATTGGGTCATGTGCAGTACTTCTGGTCATCCTGATTTTGGCTCTGTTCCTCACTAAACGTAAGTACTTTTCCTAGGCAGTTATTCAAGGATGGCTCAGGTTTGTCCAGTCACAGCTGTGGCAGATGTCATGCATCTCCTGCTTCAGGGCAGTGAGCTGAGGTCTCTGGATTCCTCACTCGGTCCCTGTGCTGTGGCTGCTCACTCAGCTCTCTCCCTATGGCCTCTGGGGCCCCGAAGAGCAAGGTGTGAATGTGGCCTCCTCATTTTGTGACTCTTTAGCAGCCAGACAACCCAGGGTGTGGTTGTGCCCTGCTGATTTCCTCCTACCCATTCCGCAGTTCCCTGTTCTCCCAGTTCCTTCCTGAAGATAATTATTTATTTTTGAACCCACTGCTTTACTTGCTTCTAGTGGTTTTAAAAAGCTATTTGTTTTTCTTTTTTTTTCTTTATTTTCATTCTGGATGGTCCTTAGAATACTTTTACAATACGAAAAAGACGGGTGACTTTGCAAAGTAAGTATTCTGTTCCTGCCTTTGCTGATAGGACAAATGAGGTTGCAGAAGGAGAATGTCAGTATGCTGACCATTCACCACATACTTTGACTTTCTTTTTAATCTGAAGTTAATAGAAAGCATTACAAAAAGAAATTAATAAATTCTGCTACTTTTCATTACTCAGTAAGCAAAAATGAGTAATAACTATCAGTTGATTGCATTAGGGAGCATGCAAACTCCAAGTGTGGGTTGTCTCTTAAGCGGAAAGATGATTCATTATCAGTCATGATAATAAGAGTTTATGCATGTTTCACTCTTTCCAGTGAGCTGGTTGATCTGCTCTTCTTGGTTTTATTGTCTGTTTTTTGTTTAAAACCATTATTTTTACTCTTTTGTGCAGCTTCATTGCATTTCAGAGGCCACAAGGTGTGGGGAATCATAATACCCTGGAAGATGAGATCCATGCAGAGGAAAATGTTTATATCATACACTAAGGACTGTATTCATGCTTGCCTTTGTCATTGTGGGGACATTAAATAGTTTGCAAAATGTTAGCTGCTCCCTCTGCTCAGCAGCTGCGTGTGTCTGCAGTACTGAAGCATTACTCACATCATTCTAATAAAACAAATAAAAGCTACACTTGCAATTAAAATCTTTATCAGCCTGTTCCAGAGAGAGAAACTGAAACCCTACTGTCTTAAATGGAAATTTCCATTTCCTAAAGAAAGTTACCATTATATTTATTGTCTGCTTCAAATTCTCACTTCCTTTTTGGAAAAAAGAGGAAGTGCCAGAAGGGCAGAATTGACTTCGCTGTGGGTTCTGTCTGCCACCTACCATAGAGCCTGTGCCATCAGAGGGCAGAAGCAATCTCAAAGCTGCTGTGACAAAGCTGTCACATGGGAAAACTTGGTAGTATTAGTAATTTAATATACATTTAGTCGGATTTTCAGTGAAGTCAGGTATACCCAGTCCTGGTAACAGCTCAGTAATACAATATACTAATTACTGTCCACCCACAGTTAAAGCTGGGGGAGCTATGGATGCTCGCCCCTCATGGGATGACCTCAGAGCTACAGCATCAGTACTTCAATGTACAGAATATTCACACCTTGTTTTAAGAGAACTATGACTAAGTGTGTTTCTCTCTACAAAATACATCGCTTTTTTTCTGTGGTTTTCTCCTTGGGCCCACCTATACCCTGAGAAGCCCTTGGGGTGGAAAGTCTCACTTCAGGCATCTAAAACAACTGAACAAATAATACCCACTTTGTAAAGTTAATTAAGTCCTCTTCTTAGCTTATGGAGAAGTCATGGACATTGCATGAAATATTGGTTTGAAGCTGACCTGCCTTCACACCCCTCTGAATACCAAACAACTAATTCATAAGAATGCTGAATGTATTTGATGGATTTTAGCCCATAAATACAGAGAATCTGTGGTTAAAGTCTTTCCTCCATTGCTCCTCAGTTACTGATGTGTCTCAGCTCTTACTCTCTGCAAACTAAACTTTGGTTTACTTTAAATAAAAAAATGGAGGCAGCCCCATGAGTATGAATCAATCCCTTAAGCATTGTTAAGCAGGAGATACAACACCAAAATCGTCTTTGAGTGGAAGAATAATTTTCATCAATTGTTTTTAAGAACACATTTTAAACAGGGGACTGAAAGAGCAGAAAAGTAGCAGAGGCAGGAGAGAGACCAACTCTTACCAGATATTGGTCAGTACATTTTGCCCTGGAGCCCATCCCAAGCAGCAGTGTGGAATTATCTAGTGCAGACATTGCTGTCATGGGGAAGATTCACAGAAGTACCAGAGACTTTCTACAATTGAGTTAATTTTCAGCTTCAAAATAATTTTCAACTATGCAGTGAGACATAAAGGTGGAATAATGAAATCAGCAGGTATTTATGTCAACAGCTGAGACACTCTGAGGCCACGGTCTGGTTGTATTTAAGGGGAGCTGGGGTCAGTGGAGCAGTTACCCCTCCCTCTCCCAGCTGGTAGAGAGGGGAGGGTTGGGTTGGCAGGGGAGGGGAGTGGTTCCCCAAGAGCCCTGGCTGAGGTGGGATCTTGCAGGTGAGTGTGCTTGCAAATAGTCACAAAGGAGGGAAAGGCTCCTCATCTTGTTGAGGAAGGAAGAAATGGAAAGGAAACTGGGATAGGTGACCCTGGTGTGCTCTGTATTTTACTTGTGCTGGGCATCCTCTTGGGGCTGTCTGTTGCAGCAGGGCTGAAAGTTTGAAAATGTGGAGGTGGGTTCATGGCTGACTGAAGTGCTCTATGTGGGAGCAGAGCTATTACTGTGCCCAGGGCCAGGAAAATTATGGACAACACCAGCTCTGCCATCTTCTGTCTTCATGTCTTGTGTAGCTTTGTGTAAGAAGGTACCGAAACTAGAAAGCACCTGCTGTTAGACTGTATTTTTGCATTTGACTATTAATAACAATCACTAACCTAAAATCACTGCCTCTGCTGAAGACATTGCTTTTCTTCTGCCTGGCAGAATGTGTTGCTGCTGTGGGCTCTAGCCCGTGACTGGAGATGGAGGAAGTCTGATCTGGTCTCTGAACTAGATCTAAGAAAACATCTTCAGCAATTTCTGCTTTCTGCAATTTTATGAAATTGTTCTCTACTGGGGTCAGAGTTAGACACTTGTAGGGTTTCCAAAATCATCTGATTGCAACCACCCCTGCTCTTACAGGGTTTGTGGGCCAGCTTTAAGTCTGCTAATCATGAAAAATGCTTGTCCATAAGGGTTTTTAAATATAAATATTCCAGACTAAATCAGACTAATTATTATATCAGCAGCTTTTACAGGTAAAATAAAGTTCTAGAATATCTGATAACCAAAATCTTGAATAAAGTCTCCTTTCTCCTGTGCAGTTACTTGGTAAACAGATTTTGCAAAGATTGTGCAGAGCAAGACATTTGCAGTATAATACACACAAATCCATGCAGGCAGAAGCTCCCTGTGCCTTTTCATTACTTCCACTTGTGCCAGTGGATCTTGGAACAGGCACTTCAAAATGAGTCCCAGGTGGCACTTGGAACCTTTTCACACATTAAGAGATTGTCCAGCTGCACAAACTGGCAGCACATCGAGCTGATGAGGCTGACGAGCTGCAAAATGATTTATTTTTTTTTTTGAGACAACTCTCTGCCTGTCCTTTTCTGCCTGCAACAAGCCACTAGACAGCAGTACAGAAGCAGAAGGCAAGCCATGTTTTTCTGGTTCTTCCCAGCACACTTGGATTTTGGATGGGCCTTTTCAATGCACTCTACTGCGTTTAGCCCAGTCTTGCTATAGAAACAAAACTGATACAATGCCACGTTCATCCTGCTCCTTCCTTAGTTGCCTGGAACATATGACCGATTCTGTTTGGACAAGCTCCATGGAAATTTCTCACTGAATAAAAACCCAAATTTGTCCCCCAGGTGAGATTGAGCTTCTCCCTGCATTGGCATTAGCTGGACATCAGCTCACAGCCACTGCTTAGTGGTGAGTAACGGGAGAAACAAGGATCATTGTAGGGGAAAAGTCTCCAGGATATTGGATGCTCCAGGTTTCATTAGTTCTGTTCACAGAACAGCTGGGGCTGTGTGTAAATGACGTTGTATGAACTGTATCTCGTAGAATATAGCAAATAAGATATTTTACTCATTGCCTTAACTGATAAAATTTTATTTGATTTTTTCAATGCTAGCAAACAGAAGAGTGATATTTTTGTGGGCTTGACTGCTCATGATAAGCCCAAAATCTCGTTACTAAAGGTGTAATGCCTGGTTAAAATCCCATCATTTTATTGTTTGAACTTGGAATTGCATTCTCATTTTGCACCGTACTATATTTATTTGCACTGAGTTTTGTCTATCTGAAATTCTTCAATCCTGAACTTAATCTCCTGAATTACTTTGCTTTAGTGGACAAGCTCTTAGCTTGTCCAGAGAAGAACTTCCAGAGAAGTTCTTTATTAAGTTAAAAAGCAGTCAGAAGGAGTAGAAAATATTTCTTGAAGATGATGTTGCAAATCTTTGGGAAGGATGTGGTTTTTGGCAAGGAAACATTTGTGAGATTTCCTCCAAGGCTGTCTTTGCAAATAGAAAATAAGAACCCAGGGAAAGAGAGGGGTCTTCAAGCAGAAATCAGAATCAGGGGAAAGGAGGGATTAAATGAATGTAACTGAAGACAAAGTCAGAGGTGGAGACTATGCCAAATGTTTAGGAGTGCAGGAGCACAGAATGTGTTCTTGCTACTCAGCACTGTGCAACAATAATGAGCCTTAAGAGATCTATGGAATGGCCAGACAAACTCAATATTGAAGTTTCTGGTGGTAGTACCATGCTGAGTGTCTCGGAAGAGGAAAGGAGAATAGGGTGGCCTGTTCCACTGTTTGACCACCCCCTCAGTAAAGAAATGCTTCCCAATGTCCAGTCTAAACCTCCCCTGGTGAGCTTGGAACCATTCCCACGTGTCCTTGACTGGATACCAGGGAGAAAAGATCAACATTTCCCTGTCCATATCCCCTGCTCAGGCAGCTGCAGAGAGCTGTGAAGTTGCCCCTCAGCCTCCTTTTCTCCAAACTAGACAAATCCTGAGTCCTCAGCCGCTCCTCACAGAATGTGCCTTCCCGCCCTGCCACCTGCTCTGCTGGTCTCCTCTGGGTGCATTCAAGTACCTGAATGTCCTTCCTAAGTTGTGGGGCCCCCAAACTGCATACAGTGCTCACACTGAGGCTGCACCAGTGCTGAATACAGCAGGACATCCCCTCTTTTGACCAGTTCCCATCCGGAAGTGTAGGAAAGAAACAGTTGCAGTGTGTAAAATCTGGAAATGGAGAAATGAGACTCCAGTGGGGCTCACTCAGCGTCTCTGGAAAGGATAAGATCTACTTTTCTCTTCTTCCACTTGCTGCCCTGGAGTCTCCATCAACTAAAATGACCTATTTTGTGCTGTTTCACTGGATTCTGGTACAGATCTTTATAGGTGAGTCTTCACCTGCTTTTTGTGTGCTTGCTAAAAATCAAAAAATTTTGTAAAATGAAAACCAACAACACCTGTTTTGTGAAAACAAAACTTTGAAAAAGACCATAGTTGTATACAGAACTTCAAAAGTTTTCTTAATTTACTGAGTTAATACTGGTTGAGGTTTGATTTTTTTTTCACTTTTTAAAAATGTGTGCAGATTCCTCTGTGTATGGGCTTGGTTAGTTTCCTTGTTCTCTTCCCTTGCAGAGCTTCTTAAGGATGAGGAGGGGTTTTGTTACCTCCTTTTTATCTTGGCTCAGTGCTGAGAATGGTTGGCCAGTGAAGTGCTTCTTTTCTGTTTCAGTCGTATCCTCTGCAATTGCATCAGTATAGAACCTTCAATAAGAAAAAAAAATGATAGGGCAAAGATGCCAAATATCTTCTGCAAAGTAGGAAAACTATTCCAGAAATAGATCAAGGGGAAAAAAAATTCTTTTTTCAACCAGCTGTCTTGGCTGGAGGATGTATGTTTTTGTCTGTCCAATGACCAGTTTGTGGGAGAGACCACTACAGTAGCAACTGTTGGGGTTACTGCTTAATGCCAGCTGTCACTGAGGGTGGGTTCAAGAGACATTACATACAAATATGCGTGTACTTGTATGATCTGAACAATTGTGAATA